GTTTTACAAGGTGATTCCGGATACTATTAACATAATCTAATTTGCATACGGTATGATGCGGTATACTGCGACACGCCCACCGTGTTATACTGCAGCATACCCCACTTGTTTTGAATGGCTGCATCTGTACTGTACTAACATATTAAACTCTGTTCCAACGTACTCTTCAGGCCCCGTTCTGTAAACCTAATATCAAAAGATGTTTTGCAGCCCTGGACATGCATGAAGGTACTGTATGTTGATTGTGCCACTTAAGTGAACTTGGATGTACAGATGAGCTTGTTGCTTTATTCCTTTCATCTTGTTAAAAATTCTGTCTGTAATTTTTTAGTAGAGGGGAGTGAGTGAAACCTTTTGCACTGATTTATTTCTTTTCCTATTTTTATCTTCCTCCACAGACTGTTGCATGGCACCTGATAAATGACGAGGTTCCACTGAGCATTGATCTCCAGACAGTACTGGATTGCTGCTGTCTCGCCTTACAGCAGACTGTAATTTGGAACTTGCTGGCTTCGCTTAGCTATGCTAGCCAAGCCTGTTCTATCATAAATTGCATTAAACTCCTTCTTGAAGCAGGTTAGTTAAGGGTATTACTGTTAGTTGCACAACAAGCACGCTTACATAAATGTTAGTTACAAACGTTTTGCACTTCACTGTGCATTTTAAGGATGCCTGCAATTTCAGAAAAGACCGAACTTCATCAGAGACATGAATTAAGTGTGTCTTGGTCCAGATTAACAAACAATTCGAAGTACAGTATGTTCATACCCACATAAAACAAAATGGTCGATTAGTACAAGTAGTATTCCTAACAGTTATAACATTTTCAGCTGACATTTTTTTTTTCTTGTGATGGCAACATCAGGGATCCAAAGGCAGTAATTACATGGATAATTACCAATTCGTTCTGCAATATTTTTTGTATTTTTCTATATATTCGTGCTTCTGAGATAAAAGAATCATCATAGAAGAGCAGCATGAACAATGAAGTCATTAGAATAAATAAAGGTTACAAAATGTTCCAGCCTGCACTTTTACCGTTCCTTAAAGCATTGGCAGTGACGCTTTAAAGGAGACACACCTGTAATAAAAGCATGGTCTCACAGCTGAAAGACAGTGAGACTCCCATCTACATGTTTGCGCCTCATGTTTGCTGTTTGGCTTTTTGGGCATAGTTTTAAGCGGCCTGTCACAATTTTGTTAAATTTTTTGCTGTATATGGTTGGTAGATGAGTGTGTGTCCTTTCAGTGGCAGTGCAGCCTGGGGAACGATTCCTGCAGCCGGAGAGGAAAAAGACGATCCGGGATAAGAGTGGGCCAGGGGATGAGGTGGATGCCTCTTCTCAAGAGAGTGAGCGGACGTCTGCTGGTATCAGATACGCCCAGTGCACTGGAAAGGACTCGTATTCTGACCCATTAGACCCATAACAGAACTAAAGGGGCATGGTCTTGAAAAATATTCGTAAAATAGCGTACAAGTTTTTCTTTTGCTTGTCAATGAAAGAAGGGAAGCCGGGCCAAAAACTTCATCTTTATTTCTATTTTTTCCAAGTATTTTGCATCTGAGTGGATATAATTCTAATAAATTTAGGTGGATGAGCGCTCAAATGTGCATTTAACATAGGGCAGCAGCCCCAGTGCCTTTCCGTGTTTTAAGCCTTTCAGTTGTTTAATTTCTCTTGAAAAGGAAATGAGCCTTTTAAAATCTTTCCACCTCCTTTTTTCTCCTTGAATTGAGGCATTTGGGTGGTTGGTAACTAGATGGCACCATTGACTCAATATCATATCTTCTGCATATAAAATCACTCTCACGTAGATTGATTAAGAATAATTGTTCCTTCTTATGTATTTAAAGGACTGGATTCTTTTAAAACCGCTTGTGAAATCATGGCAGAGCTGGTGGAGGGTCTTCGGAGCGTCCTGGCATTGGGGCATTACAGGAACAACAGAATCCCTGCATTTCTGACCCCTACACTCTGCAATATAATCATTAGTCTGGCAAGACTTCCGCTGGTCAACAGCTACACTCGAGTGCCACCGCTGGTAAGGTCTTTGAAAGGGGCCATATGATGAAATCTTCAGTTCATACTTGTCCACTTGTGAATGAAAGCTCTTCTGGCCCTTTTTATCATCTGATTCCCAGATCAAATAAAGCTCTTACCTGAGCTTGAGCCACGGTCTTTACATAAATCCATGTACATGGTCCGTGTATAATCTTCAATAGCCTTTGTCCTGAGATCCAAAGTACAAACTTATAGTTTATATCATAATAAAGAAAACCTATTTATTGTAGCTGTATATTGAGGCTTTAAATTTATGCATAATAAAGGGGTAGATCAAGCTTATGAACATAACTGTATAGGATAAATACATAAAATACATTTAGATAAGTGTTATTTCTCCCATTGGTCTTAATGGAATACCCCGGAGTGACTCAGGCTTTAATTTAAAGTAAACATTCTCCAATAAAGTACCGCTCAGAGTCATTAATGAACGGAAATGAAATCCAGTGGTAGAAATGTTGTATTAGGTGTTTTGAATCAACTACATGTTAATGGTAGTGAAGATTTCTGATACGCTGGAAATCTTTTTTTTATTTCCATTTTCCTGGTAAAAAGAAATAATCTTCGAGTGCAACTGCCAAAACAAATAGGTCCATGTGAAGTCTTTAAGATGCAAAACATATTAATCCTGTATACATATGCAGCTAGCAAAGGTTACTGTCTTGAGTTTTCGTTTTGCAAAATATAATCCATCTTCAGTTTTGTAGGTTTTAATGTTTCGTTCATAAAAACATCTATTTCAAGTGCTGCAGCTCTTCCTGCCAGACATTGTGATATATATTCCTAGTTTGTTTCAAAACACAGGTCCTTTGCTTATAATCTTCCGAACACATTTCTCATTTTATTGCAAAAGGAAAAAAATGCATTTGCTTTCAAGAAATGGGTATGATTGAAACCAATTTCTGAGCAAAAGTTCTCAGATACTGTTTTCTGAGTGTTAATAAATTAGCACTAAGATTTTTCATGACTACTACAGTTTGTGTTTCCTTTTACTGTGAGCCATGACATATACCCTGAAATAGGGAAGCTTCCATGTGGTTTCTGTGTGCCCTGTGTTGAAAAGCAATGTAGGTTACCAGATTTATGTGTTCATGCTATTTTCTTAGAAGCACTAACATCCAATATGAAGCTATCATGACCAACATTCTGCCTTTAATAATCATGAGGCTTTGTTACGTATTGTAGGTTTGGAAATTGGGCTGGTCCCCAAAACCTGGCGGAGAGTTTGGCACTGCATTGCCTGAGATCCCAGTGGAGTTTCTGCAGGAGAAGGACGTCTTCAAGGAGTTCCTGTATCGCATCAATGTCTTGGGTAGGGCATTCGTGATAAAGCGCCCACTGCCGTTCTTTACTTAAGCCTTTCTTAAAGGAGAACACACCTGTATATCTGTAGGACTCTCGGGAACTGTGCAGTTTGATGAAAGTCGAGAAGAGAAAACCCACTGAGAAAAGACTAATTCAATCATTCAGTTTTGAATTTCAATTCATTATCACGACAGTTACATTTTAATAAGGAGTAAGATTTCTGGTGTTTAATTTACTGTTTGTTTAATGTTCCGTAGTGTGTGTTATTCAGAACATATTCTATTATGTGTATTTCTTTTTTTTTATAAATTTATATATTGGAAAAAATACAACAACAGTTTGGAATGAATGAATAGGATTATTAAATACGTGGTTCTTAATACTTGTCCATTTTAAATGCTATTAATACAATGCCCTGCAAAAGTATTTAAACCCTTCTTGGAAATGTGAAATTACTGATATATATATTTCTAACTTAGTATTTTATTAATATTCTTGATAGGTTCGACCTGATGTGCTCAAACCAAAGCATCTTTATTAGTTATCTTCGTAAGTTGAGATAACTTTACAAGTCAGTAGTTGTGAAATAGTGGGGTGTAGCACTGAGGTGGGCTGAACTGACCTGGGGGACAGTTCGATATAACCCTGGAGCCTCTGTGTGTTTCCCTCAGGCTGGAGCAGCCGCACACAGTTTGAGGAGACCTGGGCCACTCTCCTGGGGGTGCTGGTCACCCAGCCTATAGCAATGGACCATGAGGCAGAGAATCAGCAGGAGGTAAAGACCACACAGTGATGCTGGACTACAATACTCATTCCTCTATGTGCCACCATCCCTCCTCTTTTCAGTGAACCACCCAAAGCCTTGTTATCGTTCAATGTCCTTGTTTCAACAAGTTAACAGAGTAAGGCAATCCACGCAGCTAAGTGGGGAGTACCCCACCCTTTGAATGCAGGAGTATTGACAACCTGTGTGCGTCGCTGGCTCTTCTGATGCTAACTGTGTGGCAGCGCTGTAGACATGCCGCAGAGCGAGACCTCACAGTGAATGCTTGGCCGTTGCAGGAGGACCTGGAGAGGACCCAGATCAATGTTCTTGCTGTGCAAGCCATTACGTCCTTGGTGCTGAGCGCCATGACAATCCCTGTGGCTGGTAACCCCGCCGTCAGCTGCCTGGAGCAGCAGCCTCGCAACAAGACCCTGAAAGCACTGGAAACTCGGTAAGCAGGCTTCGACTAGCACAGCACGTCTTCATTCGCGAGTGCCCCTGAATATCTGAAGAAATGCAGCGTCTTCTTTCAGAGAAGGCAGTTTACAATGAGATAATAGAATACGGTGTCCTATATGTAATAATAATTTCTTACACTTATATAGCGCTTTTTCTGGACACTCCACTCAAAGCGCTTTACAGGTAATGGGGACTCCCCTCCACCACCACCAATGTGCAGCACCCACCTGGATGATGCAACGGCAGCCATAGTGTGCCAGAACGCTCACCACACATCAGCTATCAGTGGGGAGGAGAATAGAGTGATGAAGCCAGTTTATACAATAGATGGGAATAAATTAAGAGGCCATGATTGGTAAAAGCCAATGGAAAACTTGGCCGGGATGCAGTGGTTACAGCCCTACTCTTTTTGAGAAACGCCCTGGGATTTTTCATGACCACAGAGTCAGGACCTCATCCCGAAGTTTTATGTCTCATACTGAAGGATGGCACCTTTTTACAGTACAGTGTCCCCGTCACTATACTGGGGCATTAGGACCCACACAGACTGCAGGGTAAGCGCCTATAATCAGTCAGTGCCATTTTCAAATGAGATTTAAAAGGTTTACTTGTGCTGGTGCTTCACATGATTGTGGGAATTCTGTTGCAAACACAAGGAAAGCATTGGATTTGAGCATATCAGCCCTGTCTGAAGCAACTTTGAAGAGCTACCAAGAGTGGCAGAATCTTTCATTCCAAGGAATTGCCAGGTCAGAAGATCAGCTCAAGCAGCAGTTAGGTCTCAAAGTAAATCTTCTGCTTCTCCAGGGTTCAGTGAATACATTTAAGCCTGGGGACAATGCATTTGAAGTGATTTGGATGAGCAAGCATTCCAGCTGTAGCATTTTGAACAGTGACTGGAAAATACAGTTCAACAGAGTATTGCAATAATATAATCTGGAACTCTAAAGCAGTGCAAAAGGAACTAATTTTTTCTTAGATCTGTAGGGATCCTTAGATCCTTATGTTTTTTCAAAAAAAATCCTTAGCATTGTGATCAACAACCAAAACCTGGCAGCAACACAAGCCTTTATTTAACTATTCATATAAATACTACTCAATTAAAACAGCGGTACATTCTTCTAAACATGCATGGTAAACATTAGAAGACTTTTATTTTTACTAGACATTTAAACCCCTTTCCTAACAATCCATATTCAGAAACTAGTTTCAGTTGTAAAGAATTTTTAACTTTTTTGTACAAAAGTTTTGTCAAATTCTAGAGGGGAGTGGGGGCTCCACTGTTGAGATTGAAGAATCCCTGTGGTTTTTAAAACACTGGGAAGAACAGTGGCAACGGTATGATAGCACCCTGTGTCATTGAAACTGGTATGGAGCGGGTGCTGAGGTAAAGTTTGGAGTCTGTAGTTTATAATTAGACCTCTGCAGTCATGCAGACCTCCTATTTTTTTGGTGATCATTTTAATTTAAGGATTGGTTCCAGATCACCGGTATTGTGGAAAGACAATGACAGGAATTAATATTGGCCGTCTCATTGTCATTTTTTTTTTGTCTCAGGGTCAAATAGAATGGAAGCAGAACATTTAATGAACAAGGAATCTGTCTGGGTCTATAAATTCTGAAATGTTTAAATATAAAAAAACGTCTGCAAGGAGATCAGTAGATGATGTACAGTATGTGGCACAACAGGGCCAGAGCTTGTAAGAAAATCTTTTTTTTTCTCTTATTTTGAGGTTTGGCAGAAAGCTGAGTGTTATTCGAGGGATTCTGGAACAGGAGATCCAGGCAATGACATCGAAGAGAGACAACATCGCCACACATTTCCCCTACCAGGCTTGGGATCCGGTCCCATCCCTCTCTTCAGCAGTCTCAGGTACTACAGGAACCTCACGGTGTAGGACCAGTAAAGTGTTAGAGAGAAACACTCATTGTGTTCATTGGCAGTTCTTTTATTTTGCTGGTGACTTCCCAAAAAAGTCATTTAAATTGACTGAGTTACCTAGGGATACAGATGTCATCATTGTGAATTCATTTTTATTTGAAGTTGGGTGCTTTTTTATTTTTTACAATTTCAGCCCAGTAGTTCAAAGATTGTTGATTAAATTGTTGGTTTTGCTGTTGCTCCCTGTGTTTTTAATGTTGGAGGTTCCAGAGAGCTGATGGCGGTGGGTATGTATTTAACTGTGGGTGTCCTCCGCAGGTTTTGGTGGTTTGTTATGATCACTTCTTTTACAAGCAAGTGTACAAGAAGAGCTGAAATCAACAGTGAACCGTCATTTCCAAAATTGAGGGGGACAGCACCTTTTTAGTAAAAATGTATTAAAAAAATTATGTTCTTTTCTTAAAAATCTGTCCATTTCTTCTTATGCTGAGCATGATTGGTCGTGTAATTCATAATTTAAGCTTTTCACAGTCGGTAGCTACATTAAGGATGTAATGTGCCATAAACATGGCTGCTAGTTCTTCATAGGAACAGACTTCCAGTTTGGTGGGGGCACTGTTTTACCTGTCTAATCCCTGTATTTTCTTTCATAGCACATGTTGATTTAAAAGTTGTTAGCCCTGTATTTATCCCTTGTGTTATAAACTACTCTTTTTTTGGTATGCTTAGGAATGCCAATATTTTAATTAGATATAGAGGTAAGCTTTTGGATGTACATTTGAAATATGAGCACAAGTTAACTATTCCATTGTGGTCTTGCTAATTTAAGACCTGAATTCCTTTGCTGCTGTTGATTAATTCTAATGTGGAGTTTATTCTGTATTTGAGGTACCTTGATAAGCCATGAGAAGCTCCTCCTGCAGATAAACACAGAGAGAGAAATGGGCAACATGGATTATAAACTGGGACAGGTAAGAACTATAATGCAATCTACTTAAGCAGGCCATGTGCTCTGGATAGGATAATATCTTCCATTACCATTCAAATTAAGCTAAGTTACACACACAGTAAGAGAAAAAAAAGCTTGTGGTGTGGTATATCTGCTTAGCAGCTCACATAGCGTTTCAGATTCTTGAAGCATTTCAGTTATTTGGAAAGTGTATGTGAAATAAACTGGTAAGTTCTTTGTACTGTAGCCCAATGAGTCAGTTTCAGATGTGAAAGTCAGTTCTTCTATGCATGTGTGACCCTGTCTTAAGGGGAGCCTGGTATTAAAACGTGCTCGTCGACGTACTATACAGTAGTGTTGGCTTGGGAACTACAACTCTCATAAACGCACTGAGCAACTTCCCCATGGCTTCCACGTCAAAGTCCCCATTCTGCCTGGCTGGGGCGATGTAGTTCTGGCAGCTTCATGGTTGAGCGTCATTGGCGCACACAGAAGGAACTCACACATAATTCCTTTTTAAAATCTTATTTTCTATGAAAAGTAGAAAAAACATGGGAGTTTTTCTAGAGATTTTTATAAGTCAGGAGTACAGCAAACTGGTAGCGAGGTTTTCTCTACCCATCTTGTACATGTTATTGTACAAAACTTTTGTTATTGTAAAACTTTTACTACAACACATTTAAACACAACGGAACATAATGATTTCTAACATTACATCACAATACACTTAACTCACAATACACTTTTCACCTTGCGACTTAACACAGTTACAGTAGCTACCGAAGTCCAGTATTAGTCTCTGACAACCTGCAACCCCGAATACACTTTGTATACCTTTAAAACAAATAGAAACACTTGAAACTTAAACAACGGAGCAGTAACAGCATTAAACATAAAACTGTAGACCTTTAAAAAATCGTATTACTTCAGGTTTATAGGTCTTACCGAAAGAACTAGAAAAACTATGGGCGGGTGTTCAGAGATATTTGCAAGTTGGAAGTACAGCAAGCTGGTAGCGAGAATCTAACTAACCGCCTGCGTGAGGCGCTATTCCTGACCCTATCACCTGGTTACACATGCATGCCAACAAATTTATCATGTAAAATTTTGTTTTAATTACCCCATGGGTGAAATTCAAACAATTTCATAAACAGGTATATCTTATAATAATATCTTATTTATAAGATTAATATCTGGGCTGTGTTCTCTACTTTCTTAAATTTGGCATCAAAAATATAAATGAATACTGGCAGTAATTTCTAAAGGAGTATTTGATTTCAATGGAAATTTAAGAGCTATTACACTGCTAGTCAGATTGTCCAGTGAAATCTCCCCATTTTACATCAGGTTTGACTTTCTTGCAGTACATCATACCGAGATAGTGAGAACATTGTCGTTTGCCATGGTCTATGGAATGAAATATTTGAAATATCCTGTTCACAGCTCAGCCGGATTTCCTTCTGAATCAATCTGATTTATGTACTGAGATCTGAACTGCTTGGCAGGTGGTGCCGTTTGAGGAGAATTTGTGCAGAGAGTTCTGACAGATGGGGGCTAAGATGAGATTTATTTGCCCTCATGTAGTAAGAGAGCCTTCATAAATGATAGGATCTGCTGAAAAGGTTTTGCACGGGGCTGAGGCGTTATTTTGAGCGCTGTCTTGGAGAGTTTATAGAAGTTTTGTGGAATTAATATAACCATAGGTAAGAATTTATGAAGTGAAGATTATTAATTCATATCCTGGCACTACTAAGCTGCTAGAAGAATAATCCTTCAAGTCTGATTCTGGACTGTATCACTGAAGGCTACATCTGGCTAATTCTGACACTTGTAGGTCAGAATGCTTTATTTGTCCCTGCTAGTGGAAGGGAAAAGACTGGGATGTGAAAGTTAGGCTAAGAATTCAGGTCCGTTGTCAAGTCCTTATCCATAATTGGGGTTAATTATGTTTTTCATTGGAAATTCCAGAACACCACAAGCTTTTTTTTCTCTTGGGGGGAAAAAGGCTTGTTTTGTTCTGTGTCTGGTCAGAGTTGTATTTTAAGATTGTGCTTTTTAATAAGTAGTCAAAAATAGTTTTTTTGTGTTGCTGACAAAATGCACTCAAACTACCATTAGCTGAAAAGTGATCAAGTTGCATGAGCTCATACAGAACACATCTCATCACATTATGGCTTCGCAGCATGATCAAGCTTTTATGCGTCACTAGAATGGATGAAAAAGCCTGCAAGCCACTCATGAGTCTTGCTTGAGTGTGCGCAGGTAGTCCATTAAAAATGGGACATTTCCTCTGCCGTTTATATTTTTACATTTCAAAACCTAAAGGCGTTCTTCCCCTGGCTCAGCAAGTCAGACATCCTTTTTGGTTCTGCTTTTTGGCCCAAAAGCCTACTGAGGTTGAGGAAAAGAGGACATACCTGGAGAGTGGGGTCACAAGACTTAATTTCCCATTTTGGGCCTCAATGTGACGGTAACAGAAGTAACCAAACTTGAACATTAAAATGGTGGAAGTGGCGTCCCTGTGGCGGAAGAGCAACTGGAGAAAGGTCCCGTGAAGGAAGTTGAATTCATAAATTCAAACCAATGTGGACGTGCCTGTTAGCAGATAAGGGACTGAGGGGGGGGGGTCAGAAAGGCCCGTTACTTTGTGGGCGTAGTGGCTGGCTCTCTGTAAAGCCACGCTGTTGTTGCAGGTGTCCATACACTCCATGTGGCTGGGAAACAACATCACCCCCCTGAGAGAGGAAGAGTGGGACGAGGATGAGGAGGATGAGAATGATGCTCCGGCCCCAGTGTCGCCTCCCACTTCCCCCATCAACTCCAGGTCAGTTTCACCCTCTCTCCTAATGGGCAGAGCTCCCAACCCATTTGGTGGAGTTGCTGCTGTGTTCCTTTTGTTGTCTGCGCAGGGTTAAGCTGTTTACAATGGAAAATCGTGCCGTACAATACCTTCCTGTGGTAGTTTGGATTATAAAGGCAGAACATGTTACTACTGATTCTGGCTTCTATGTAGAAAACAAACACTGGCATTTAGGTTAAGCAAAATAAATGTTTTGATGTCACTCTCAACCTGTTTTTCATTTGAAGGGTTAGTATAAATAGTTCTGTAACATGTCTAAATCGTCCTGCCAGCCTGTTGCTCATGTTCTGTTTATATAGGTTATCACTTGATAAGGAACAAGTAATAGGTTTATTCCATGCTGGAAAGTGAAGAAAGAAAACGCAACGTTTCGGCCGTGGAGCCTTCTTCAGGTGTCAAAGGCTCCTGAAGGAGGCCCTACGCCCGAAACATTGTTTTCTTAATAAGCATTGTTTTTACTGAGGTGCAATGGCAGAGAATTTCAGAAAATTTAGAAAAGCAATTTGGTATAGACAGGCATTTAAACTGCTAAGTGAGGCTGGCATTATAATGAGGTTTAACTGCGTCAACTGAGAAATGCCACAGCAGCCAATGTCAGTACTCTCAAAATGAACTTCTTGAAAGTATTTTGGCATTAATTGTCATGGCAGGAAACATCGTGCTGGTGTTGACATCCACTCCTGCTCACAGTTCTTACTGGAGCTCTACAGTCAGTGGGTTCTACCCAGCAGCCCCAGCAACAAGAAGACGCCTGTGATCCTGATTAGTGAAGTGGTTCGCTCAGTAAGTTTCACATTTCAAATGAGCGCGCTGGCCTGGCGAAGACATTAGGGTTTTTCCACTCTGTTGAGTAAATGTTATTGATTTGTGTCCCCCCCCCAACTCATCCTCAGCTTTTAGCGGTGTCAGACTTGTTCACGGAGAGGAATCAGTTCGAGATGATGTTCAGCACGCTGACGGAGCTCCAGAAGGTCCACCCTGCCGAGGACGAGATCCTCAACCAGTACCTGGTCCCTGCCATCTGCAAGGCAGCAGCCGTTCTGGGCATGGTAACCGGACTTGTCGCACCTGAGCGGGACTCTGACCCTAATCAACACCATGAGACTAAATTATATTTTCCCCTGACTATTGCAATATCAAGGGAGCCGTGGTAGCTCAGACGGCAAGGGCGTCTAGCTCCTAACTGGAAGGTCCCGGGTTCAATCCCAGGTAGGGGCAGGCGATGTAGCTTGCTCTAATTCCTTCCAGACGGCTCCCAGGTCGACTCGGCCTACTTTCCAAGTGAGTACCAGGGGTTAATCCTTCTGGGGGTAATAGGCCGTCCGGAGCATGATGCTGACCACATCACCTCCACCTCCAGTGTTGGATGGTTGAGAAAACTGGTGTCCCTTGACCCCATTCCCCCATGGGCCTTTATGGCCTGAAAAGGGACCTACCTACCTTTTGCAGTACCAACCATTCTGGTTAGACTTCTTTACCAGACGATCTCAAAGTAATGGGATTTCCGTTCATGTGCACAACCTTCTGATGCACTCTGGACACAAAAACTAAGGCATTACATTTTTGGTTTTGCACACCAGTGCTAAAAATACCTTGGAAATTATTTCTATTTCAGGATTATTGTAATTATTGACAGCACTACCATATATGAAAGTGTTTAATATGGGACAGCTGAGATCATGTTATAATGGATTTTCTTGTGATTGGGTTGGCATGATGCTATGATCAGGCAGCAGTCTCTCATCAGCGTTGTGACATTGTGATGATGACAAGATGTACAATGGATTTTGCCAAACGCAGAAAAAACAAAAAGAACAGGCTCTGTAGAATGTGGACCACACGCAGAATCTCAGTTGTGTTTACCCCCTGTTAGGACAAGGCGATAGCGGAGCCTGTGAGCCGACTGCTGGAGACCACCCTGCGCAGCACGCACATGCCCACCCGCATCGGGGGGCTGCACGGCATCCTGTACGTGCTCGAGTGTGACCTGCTGGACGACACCGCCAAGCAGCTCATCCCCATCATCAGCGAGTACCTCCTCTCCAACCTGCGGGGAATCGCACAGTGAGATTCGCTCCGTATCCGTACACACTTGCAAGCACCCAAAAGACAACAGAAGTATCTCAAGTGGCCCCTGCAGCAAATGTGCTTGTTTGTAGTGACAGCCGGCCCGGACCCTGTTGGTTTTCAGTTTGGTCTTGGTCACTAACTGACGGGGACTGGGGTTTCCCAGGAGTCATCATACAAATTTAGTGGATGCTACCAGAATTGGATGGGCTCTAGTTAGTTAGACTTGCCTGCTCCTGTAAGCTCACAGTTACGGCGGGAGTCACTTTACTTTTCCAAGGGCCGGACTTGAATTTTGAAAAGTAGCAAAAGGGTCTGATCATGCAGCTTTGAGAAGAATAGGTGTATACTCCTCATCCCCCACCACCCCTGTGCTGGTAGGGGGGCAGGAGCACTGAAAAAGTGGCTAGCACTTGCTTCTTTCCAATTGGGAAAAAATAAAAAAAAATATTTGACAGTTCCGATTTGTTTAAAAAGGAACAGAAAATGATCATCTAGCTTTCTTTGTTTTCGGCAGATATTGTGATTATTTTCATTGATATGTACAGGGAAGATTTTCCTCTGCTTAATTTTGAACAGGATCTTCAGGCTAACCAGCTGTGCAGATACTATTGAATGGTGGCAGACTTTCCAAAAAATGTTCCCTTAAATTTTTGTACAGTATATGTCTTTTATTACCCCAAATACAATATAAGTGCAGTATCGTTTGCTTTTTTTATATGCCAGTGGAAGAAGTGATATTCTGTAGGCTTTATCATCCTACCACCAGTTTCACTGCTTGGCAGGATATGTATAATTTTAGATTTTTGTGCTTTGTAGAAGAGGTGTTTGCCTTTTTTCCCACACAGCGTTCTCATGGGGATAATTTGACACAAATTCATGCAGCCTGTGTTATTAGGCCGCTAATGACAATTTTAGAGGTCAGCTTGTTAAAGAGTTTCCTCAGCCTAAACCCATTACTGAATATTTTGACAACTGGTGTCCTTTGAAATTTGATACAGATAGCAGTACTCCTCATACCATTTTATGTAATTTTTTTTCCCATAAATGTTCTAATTGTTTTTCAGTGATGTCACAGGCTTTTGTCTCCTTGTTCCGATTACAGCTGTGTCCACCTTCACAATCAGCAGCATGTGCTGGTGATGTGCGCGGCAGCCTTCTACATGATTGAGAACTATCCACTGGACGTGGGCCCAGAATTCACAGCTGGCATTATCCAGGTGTGGCAGCATTTTTTTGGCCTTTGTTTGGATAGATATTGCATGGTGTCTGCAGCGTGTTATTGGGAGATGTTTAGAAAAAAGGGGGCTGTGGGACAAATGTACTGTAGCCTCTGCTATACAAACCCATATCCTCAATGCAATCTTGTGTAATCCGTCAAGTCTCTGAGAACAGCATCACCTAAAGCAATTCAGAATAATTACAGAAAAAACTAGTTCACTGACATAAAACTTAGAGTTGTTTTACTCATTCATTCTGGCATTTCTAGAAAACCCTTTTCTGAATTCATGTTTTAAACAGCCCTGCCTATGAAAATCAAAAGAAGCTGATAGGGATTCATTTTACATGTTGTGTTTGCACCTCAATCATTTCTGAATTAAAGATATTTTGTTCTTTAAAAGCATAGGAAAATACACAGGCCTTTCGTTACATCCTTATATCTTATTCTACAAAATCAGAAAAAGACAACATTATCCTTCTATGTTTTTTTCTGCCTTTGCCTTCTTTGACATTAGGAATTATGACTCATGGTTCTTTGGAAAGCCTCAAGAAGATTTAGAGGCATATTTTATTCATGGCGCTACCACGTGTGTTAACATTTTAAGCATTGCCTTTCACTTCTGGGAGGAAAGGACGCAAATGAAAAGCACTCTGAAATAGTCCCGGCCATTAGTAAGCTTGAAGCTCTTTCCTACGAGGAGCAGCCATGAAATGTTGTGTCTCACATGTCTGACACTTAGCTGGGTGCTGTTGCAGATGTGTGGCGTGATGGTCTCTGGAAGCGAGGAGGCCACTCCGTCTGTGATTTACCACTGTGTCCTGCGGGGTCTGGAGCGCCTCCTGCTGTCAGAGCAGCTGTCCCGGCTGGATGGGGAGGCACTAGTGAAGCTCAGTGTGGACCGGGTCAACATGCCCAGCCCTCACCGGGCCATGGCTGCTCTGGGGCTCATGCTCACCTGCATGTACACAGGTAATGCCGGCGTCACACAACACGACTTTCCCTAGGATTTTCAGTCGTAGCCTTCATTTACAGAATCGTAAGAAACTCACAAGTCGCAGCGCGCACCCGTTACTGTCAGTTGTGTAGTGTGACACCCCCAGCGACTCAGTCCTAGCCCCTACAACTCTCTGGTTTGATTTTCTCATAGCGAGTCGCAAGTCGTAAGGGTGGGCAGTGAGCCGAATGTGTACTTGTGAGATAATGTGCACAGTATATTACACGTTATAGCGCAATACTAATTTGTTTACGGTATTTGTTTTAAAGACGTTTTATATTTTCAACTGTTTTATTTTTGTACATTTGTTTCTATATTTATAAAGAAGAATTATATTTTTGAAGATGTTTATTTGTGGAAAACAGTGCCTGTGTGACATTTTTCAAGATGTTTATGTGCTTGTTCTCCAAGTTGTTTGTTTACTTTCGTGCGGTGCTCCTCCTCTTATTCCAGTGTGCTCCAAGTTGAACGGCTGCCAAAATGAGGCGACCTTGCGGTACTTTCGCGCCGCAATACATGATTTGGAACCGTGATGAAAAGTCGTGAAGGAATCCTGTAATTAGTCACCCACTGCGATTCCTAGTCATATAATTTGGCACCCTCTAGGACAGAAAAGGCAGTGAGACTCAGCAACTGCAGTCATTAAATTTGACATGCTCTCTGATTAGGAGTCGTGTCGAGTCATGTAGTATGATGCCAGCTTAACACAGGAACTGGTAACACAGCATGGCCCTTTCCAACAGGGTTACAGCTTGTGGCGATGTCCACAAGAAGCCTGTTTTCGTTGTTATGCGTCTGCAAAGACGTTCAAACTGCAGTCCTCAACATTAAGGGGCCATGCATTATTGATTCACATCATTGATGCATTTCATTTCTGCCATTATTCCAGAGCTTAATCCACTAAGAGGAACGAGCTTTTTCTGCACTTTGCAGTTTGAATCAAAGGCAGTCATTTTCACACATAAGAAAGCTTTTGAAGAACTAAAAAGAGATTTTAGAGTGTTTAATAATTACATTTTAGTGTTGATTGAAATCAAAAGATGGACCAGAGATGCTCAAAATGTATTACAAGTGGCATATAATGGTTCTTCTCAACATTATATTTTAAGAGAACAATTTGGGTTTACCTTTACACGATTATTAGTTCTTCATCCCCAGATAAGGATCGTTGATTTCCTCAGTGCCTTGTTAAACGGCCGTGTGTTCTGGACAGGAAAGGAGAAGTGCAGTCCGGGACGGGCAGCGGACTCTGATCCCACAGCCCCCGACAGCGAGTCTGTGATTGTGGCCATGGAGCGCGTCTCGGTTCTCTTCGACAGGTACGCCATGGTTCTGGTGCTGGACTTCTTTGCCGGATCTTGAATAAAAGAAAAATTGTCAGAAGTTACATTTTCATCACATGTTTGTAATCGTTTTCACATATTTTAGAGGTTTGGTTTGCATTTTATTTAATTTGGTCCACGGTGAAATCTCATTGTTATAGTCGTTGCCATTGTTTGATGGTTATCTCAAGGGTTAGAAGCTGGATCTGGTGGCTTTTCGATTTAAACATTGCCTTTAGTTTGATGCAGAAATAATGGATAGAGAGAACAGGTTGTGATTATGTGCTCTTGATTTGGGTCTTCTGCAGGCAGTCGGGGGAGGGGGGGATTGTGGCAGAAGAAGTGCCCTTCTTAGTTGTTTTTCAGAGGGTTTAGTGTGCAGCCTTCTCTTGTTCTTCATTTTTCAGGAGTTGGATAATCCCTCTTTAGTGTGCATTGTATTTTAATGAAGAATGAATGGATCAGGCAACTTTGATATGTTGTACTTTTTTGTGAGATCTTTTAAACATGTTAACAAAGGTAGCAGTATTGTTAGATTGGAACCAGTCCTCAGCCTTGTTGCCTTTTGCTCAATACTGATCTTTCTTCTCCAGAATCAGAAAAGGCTTCCCTTTCGAAGCCAGAGTGGTGGCAAGAATCCTCCCTCAGTTCCTGGATGACTTCTTCCCTCCTCAGGATGTGATGAACAAAGTCATTGGGGAGTTCCTGTCCAATCAGCAGCCTTACCCACAGTTCATGGCGACTGTTGTTTACAAGGTCAGCCTGAATGCAGCCTTCTGTCCTTGGTACTTTTGCACCAGTCTGGAGTGCAGAAGAAAAAACAGAGTGAAGCTTAAATGAAAAGTAAAGTCCTTCATCATGTCTAAGCCTCCCTCATGTCAGTCTTTGTGGAAGCACTCACAGACTGACATCCTCCTGGTACTTGGGAACACCTACTTCAGTAGAAAAGTAAAATTTAAAATTAAACTATCAGGGCTGCAGTTTCATTATTTTATTGCCGCCAACAATTTGTATGTAACACAGGTTTTATGGGGCATTCTGGAAGGTTCTGCAGTCTGCATTTGTTAGTGAGTCTTCCAAGTAAAAGAGAGAGAACCAATAAAATGAGGAACATTCAATCAGATTTTAGTGGAATTGAATTTTTAACACTGTAAAGTTATATTTATTAAGTCTTTTTTTGACATTACAGTCCTGTTTCCTTCCATTTACCAGGTATTCCAGACATTGCACGCTACGGGCCAGTCATCGATGGTTCGAGATTGGGTTCTCCTGTCTCTTTCCAACTTCACTCAAAGGACACCAGTAGCCATGGCGATGTGGAGTCTTTCCTGTTTCTTCGTCAGCGCTTCGACTAGCCAGTGGATTTCAGCCCTGTATCCTTTAAAGCTTTAATTAAAACATATGTTGCTAAAATACCTTAGAAATTTTGCTTTAATCAATCAGTTTTGGAATCATTTAAAAAGGTGCTGACGTTGTTTCCTTTTCAAACTACTTATTCTTCTTTCTTACCAAATATCTCCACTCTTTGTTTCAAATTTAGATACAGTACCTCTATTCTTCCGTTTTCTGTCTGTAAAATACCATTTTTATTCAATGTCTTGCTCTATTTTATTTTGATTTTAAAAGCCATTTTTCCTCTTGCTAATGTAACTTTTCATATCACTCTTACTGTTCAGTCATTTGTTCTTTTTCAACTAGTAACATTACATGATCTACAGTAACTTCCTGTGAATATTTTATTATTAATATAGGAAATTTGTAATACAGGATTCCAATTGAATGTCCCACTGCCATATTTGGCTTCTGCAGGATATTTTTACTTAGCATAATATATACTATATACTGCAGTAACTAAAAGTAAATGATAAGAGGTGTTTTTAATTTACTTTGTACTTTGAAATTGTACTTTACTTGTATTTATTTATAAGTCAGTAATGAATAATATTGACAAATGTTCAGTAGACTGATTTTTTGGCAAAAAATATTTAAATATTTAAAAAGAATATTCAGACATATCAAATTGAATGTTCGTGTGGACATCACAATATAATAATAATAATTTAATAATTGCTTAAACTTAAATAGCACTTTTCTGGACACTCCACTCAAAGCGCTTTACAGGTAATGGGGATCCCCTCCACCACCATAAAATATACATCAAACATGCATCTACTCCACCATGTAGATGTATATTTACTATATAGCTAACAGCTATAACACCCTACAACGCACAACTGACAACCCACTGAAGCTCAGCAGGTGTGTACCAGGTGTGGTCAGTACCTGGATGGGAGAACACCTGAGAAAAAACTAAGGTTGCTGCTAAAGAGCTATTAGAGACCACTCTGTGGTCTGTGAGGGTCCTAATGCCCCAGTATAGTGACGGGGACACTATAAAAAACACTGTAAAAAAGGTGCCATTCTACAGATGAGATGTAAAACAGAGGCCCTGAGTGTGTTTCTTGAAAACATTAAGGGTATTAACCCCAGTGTCCTGACCAAATTCCCCATTGGCCTTTACCCATCATGGCCTTCTAATAATCCCCATCTATGAATTGGTTTCATCACTCTGCTCTCCTCCCCTCTGATAGCTGAAGTGTAGCTGAGGTCTGGCACCCTTTGGCTGCTGTTGCATCATCCAGGTTGGGCTGCATATTGGTGGTGGAAGGAAGTCCCTATAAAGTCCTTTAGAGTGGATTGTCCAGAAAAGCGCTCTATAAGTGTAAGGATATTATGATGATGATGATGTTTGGATTTAATTTTTTTTTCATCATCATGGTTTTGCATCCTAATTCCTGGCTACAGAATGGATCTAACATACTCCTTCTGCATTTTGTTGCTTAAATGGGTAGATTATGGCTTTTGTTTTAACTTCTTCATCGTCACACCCTTTCCTTAATCCACGTGTTTTAGCCTTCCTCACATAATCAGCAGAATGGGGAAGTCGGAGCTTGTGGATGTCAACCTGTTCTGCCTAGTGGCCATGGACTTCTACAGGCACCAGATTGATGAGGAGCTGGACCGGCGGGCTTTCCAGTCTGTCTTCGAGATTGTGGCCTGCCCGGGCAGCCCCTATCACCGACTGCTCACCTGTCTACAGAATGTCCACCAGGCCACCCCTTTCTGAGCACAGAACTCACTCCTGGCTCAGAGAAAGGGAATCCCTGAGCCTTTCTTGTAAGATAAGACTTGGAAGTCCCTGGCTGAATAGCCCTGTCAAAACCCCACTACCACCAGCCTCATCTCCAGAAAGGATTGCCTGTTAGAGGTTCAGAAATCTGGCACTGGTCATGTACAGTATGGTTCTCCTTGTACTTCCAGCTCCCAAGCCATTCTGTGCTTGGAAAACAGACCGAGTACTATTCTGTGTCTAAGAGTTCTTCCCGCACTTCAATGATTGAAAACATAAAATCCGAATAATCTCTTTGAAGGCCTTGTAGGGCAAAAACAAAAAACGTCATATACAGTACTTAAAAAAAAATGCAGTTCTTCAATTTTTGGGGTGTGATTTGGTACAGAGCATAAACCAGATTGCTTAATGTCAAGGTGCCCTACTGAGAAAGATTAGAAACCTGCTTAGTTATCGCCATAGATAGATTTGTTGTTTTTAATATATCTCGCCTTCAAAACGGAGAAAAATACAAGAGTGGGGATTAATGTTCCTTTCAAAGTCATACCGTATATACATAGCCATAGTACACTGCTTTTGTTTTAGAAGAGGGTGAGATTGTAAGGGAGGTCTATGCTGAAAAGAAGGTAATCAACCCAATTTTAGCATGTTGTAATAATCTCTTTCCCACTTTGCAACAACATGGTGTATATAGTGTCTGTGTGGGGGGGGAATTAAACACTTTCAATGGTGTATTTTTTTCTTTTTTTATTCTCAGGATGTAAAAGATGTGATAATACCAACTGGAAGTGTCTTTTAATGAAAACATTTCTATATCATGTAAAGTCTGTACAATTGTAAAACCTGTGGTGCATGGATCTGTGTTTCAGAAAACGATTTGACACAAAACCACTTCAGGCCACTGTTTTTGAATGTCTTTCCATCTTTCTGTTTGCACACGATGAATGAAAGGAGTCGGTGATATGTGTGTGTTGTGTGTTTTGTTTTCTTTTTACGTGCAGCGTTCTTCCGGACTAACTGGGTATAGGAGAACTCGATCAAGCATGAGCTCATGCGTGTCTTTCTTTATCTGTGGCAGTCATGTAATGCACGTTGTGCTGAACACAAGTCCCGTAACTTCATGTCATGACTGCTCACAGTGATACACCGTGACACAATTATGCCACCGACTCACCTGTTTAACCTTTCTAGGGCTGGTCTTCATCCACACCCAGTTTCACTATACCTGCAGTGACATCACTTAAAGCAGGTGAAACATGAAAGAGATGATAGTTTTTCTGGGCATCTGAAGATCATTAGAATCTAATGATCAGGAAAATGTAAAAAAACCCAAACTGGAACATGATTACTTCTCTTGGTTTGTGAACATATACAGTAAACATTTGTTTTAACAAAGATCTGACCACTTTGTCACAAACTGTGCCTGTTGTTATTATTGTACTGTTTACCAAAATATGTTCCAGTTAATCATTATATATGCATAAACATTGTGTTTTGAAAGGACATTGATTATACTAATATTTTCATATGCTGATCAGAGTTCTGCTGTATTTAGGTACTAAAACAATGTAGCTTGCCTTATATTGAAAGAACACAAGTCTTTATGTTCAGTCCTAATTTGGTGAAAGGGTAGTTTTAATCAGAGAATGGATTACTTTAATGTAAATAGGTATAATAGTTAAAGAATATATATATATAGGATACCTATTAGAAAAAGAAGCATGCTATATAATATTAACCCCGCTTTTGAATTACTGTAAAACACTAATTTTATATGTAGGAAAGGCTTTGTAAGAGAGATTTACTACTGAAGAGGACATTATTGAGGAGAAACGCTATCCAAAGGGAACTTATTTACTGTATAAAAAGCTTTGACAAATCGTAGTTGGTACATTATCCATGGTATGCTCAGAACAGTATTTCCTTTTAATACATTCAGCTTCATTCTTTGCAAAATCTTCATACGAGTGTTTAAAAGCTTTAAATCCAATTTACTTAGTTAAAAATAACTGCATTGTAATGTTCAAACATAGCAGTAGCATTATCAATATTGCATTATGTCTGTATTTATTGAAATTACAACAAAGGCAAATGGATCAAATTAGACAAAAGCATAATCAAAATTTTAAACGATCATAAAAATACGTGAAAAATATTCAGTAACATAGGTCACTCCAGTAAAATTTACTTTTTTTTGTAGTAATATGCTGTATTTGCACAGTAAACTGATCATTGGCTTGGCTTTTGAACAACTACATTGTACACGCAGATCAGGAAGCATTCTCTACAAATCTCACTCATGACCGAAGTATGAAAACGCCATTTTTGCTGAAGTGAAATATTTTGTTGAAGGAAAAAATAACATTGATCTTGTTGAGGTGAAAAGGGTTTAGTCCTTGATACCATGGAATCAAACAAGAAGCCAAATATAAAAATGACCTTCGGATTGCTGTGGTTGAAAAGAAAAACATGGCTGGTCTGGAGGGTAATTGCAGTTTAATGATGGATTGTACCACATAACATCATAGTTTTATTTTCATCATCTTTATCATCTCTTTCCCAGTACATGCCCATGTACATGCCCTGGTTTTTTGCGTTTAGATGCCCAACAGTAGGGGATACATTCAAGTTCTTCAGTTCAACATTTGATTGTTTTGACAAAGAACATTTCCCTGTTCTGAACTGTAAATAAACAACTTCGGAATTCCTGACTCCCTATCTAGTGCTGTAGTTTTGTTTTTTCAGTCGTTTCATGGTTATGCAAATAGGTTTCACGTAAAATGAAGAGTCTTTGATCAAACTTTGTAGGTGGGAAAGATGCGTTTCCACTATGCACTCTTTCTGGGGGTTTCTGGTAAGTTTCTGGGATTTGGCAAGATTGGGTTGTAGTTTGTGTGTGTGCTGATATCTTCTCTCTAATTATCAAGCAGCAAAACAAAGTCCCACATGAAGATGTTACTCGGGTGTCAGAACAGTTGCTCTGGAGTTTTCCCACATCACACAGCTGGCTGCCCCATCATTCCAGACTTTTTTTTCTGTATAAAGCTGTCATGAGAAAAGTCTGGAGCCTGTACTGGAATGTGTTAGGATTCACACTGCAATAAATGTATAATTTGGTTGTGTTGTGTTTATAAAGATTAAGTTGCTGGACTTAAAATAGTTTTAAAACGTCTCCTTTTTTCGACAATTGTAAATTTGGGGCATTTTCACTGAGAATTCTCAGCTGCACGACACTATAAAATGTACTAACAGTTCTTGAATTATTAAAATGTCAGAATTGATTCACGTTTAGTCCTTCTATGTTTTTTAATTGAACCGGAACGGAACAGCTCATTTTCTAAACAATTGGTCTACAGACGACCTTGTGGAATCTGTTTTTTTTTTTGTAATTTTATGCTAGTTGGGGGGTAATAGAAGAGCAAGGTAATTCAATTTTTTTCTTTTCCCTGCTCCCATACCTGTAAATCTCTCCAGAGTGATAACTCCTTCCCTCCCCTGCCACAAGAAGCCAAGAATCCCATGGGATAGCAGTATGAGGGGGAAATCCTACTGTATAGTCTATTGGAAGTTTCAGATCTATACTCCTGCAAGAAGTTCAAATCCCCCTTATATGAATAATTAAGGTATTATCTAAGATACTGTATCTGTTACTATTGCATTCCTTGAGTCTGTCTTTTCACTGTGAAAGTTAGAGGTAACCTCCAGCTATTTGAAGATTAAATCATTGATCACATCTTAAGAAAATGTAATAAAAGTTCACATTCACTTCTTGGTAATATAGAGCTACTTTGTTCTATCAGTCTGTTATATCGAGACATTTCTACATCTACGATATGGAAATACGTTGCATTATTATAACATGAGGAGCTACCTTGAACAAACGCTTCTTTTCATAATTTCACACCAAGGCAATTGAAGTTTGTTAATGTTTCTTAAAAAAAAAGATATTCACTGTAAAGCTACTTGGAAAACATTGCTGAATTTATTGCGAGAGTCATGAGTTGATTCATAGGCTAAAAAACTGTGTTTTTGGTAATGGACGTTCATGGATCCAAGAAGGATTAGTCAAACGCGTGTGACTCGTGTGTTTGTGTGTGTGTGCTGCTTTTGGAGGACGCCTTGTATAAAAGTTACGTTAAATGATTGCGACTTCAGATGTATTAAAAATCTCCTATGACAAGAGATGGTCTGTCACAGTGTCTGTTTACGCTGTGTTCCTGAGGAAAACTCCAAGCTGTTCTTCCTCCCCTGCAGTGATGTTTCTTGGCTGTGGTCACTGAGTTTGCACAACTGGGTGAAATCGCCCTGGCAAAAAACGACTGTACAACAGCTGAAACAAATGTCCTTAACTGATGAGATTATGGTAAGTAATGACTACACAGTGCTGGCTGAATCATCTCATTAGTTCTGTCTTCCACTGCAGGTTTCGTTGAAGACGATCTTTGGAATGTTTTTGCTGCGTGGATTTCAAATCACTAAATACCAAGTGGGCTTTCACAGTTCCTTCAGTCGTGCAGTCGAGGGTGTTGGAGCTTGTATTGTCCCTTTAGCAAAAGACTTCAAGCTCTTCCATAGCTCTGCCACAAGTGTCTGAAACAGAATCAAGTGGGTTCTGTGATGAAGGCCGCTCAGGAGGTCTTTTTGTTAACCAGGCATTGCAGGTATTAATCCTGCTTTCGAAATGTGTGCAGTGTAGTAGATACAGTACATGGCATTATAGGGATTCATTCACTCATGCATTGTGAGTGCTGGTGGAGAGCCCAAACTTGGTCAAAGTGTTGGCCCTGTGGAATGTCACTTCACAAAGAGGGACCGTGCAGTGTTGCAAGATATCAACGTGAAAATACCACCACTGTGGATGAGTATTTGGAAATAACTGGGGATGTGAAAGTAAGAGAATGTGATGTCCCCGAGAGTGTGATGATTCTCATGCATTTTGTACAGTAAATGACATTCCAGAACCAATTTATCTGAAGTTTGGAATCAAACAAAAATACCATCACTGAAAAAGAGTATAAAATTATCTCGCAGGGGAAGATGAAAATCAAATTGTAAAATGAACATTTGTACATTGGATCTGTAAGGCATCCTCTCTGCAGACTCCTGGGCTTAGTCACTGCCAAGTTAGCTCTCCTGGGTTCTATAGACAGCAGCTGTCAGCTCTGAAAATCAGATTAGGCAGAACCTATTTATTAAATTTAAACTGATATAAAAGTATCAGTTTCAAGTAGTGTGAGGAGAGGTGGGTGTAAAGGGTTGCCTTATAACGTGTGTAAGATCTTCAGATCATTTTTGATTTTGTCAGACTGAGATTAGTATTGTACACACACAGCAATTTCTTCTTGAAACTTTTAATACAACTACTAGCATTTTTAGGATTGTGAGACACTAGTTTAAGCTGTATGTACATCTTCATAGTTTGAGTCGTCTTAATGCATCTTTTGATGCTTACAGGATTGCTCATAATCACTAGCCTAATATATCACTAGCAAAATATACTGCGGTTTCTTAAGATTGTATTAGAACACAATAATGAAAGGTGAAGTATAAACAAAAAATCGGACCATTTCTAATTTGGGTGTAATTGTGCCATTTTTTTCAAGTGATTTTAAATCCCTTTTACTTACTCTGCTGCACACTCCATCTGTCGATTAAACCCAGTTGTCGAATCCTCTCCTAACTTTGAGCGCTTCTCACAGCTCTTGTATTTTGGCAGTTTTTGCCTTTTAATGCTGCTTTTTTGTTTCTGTTAAAATCTGTCTTAGATTGATTTAATACAGTGCCATATATGTACATTTTTAACCTTTTAAAACGAGTGTAGCTTTATGTACAGAGAATTAATTCACATTTCTCAGTATGCAATTACCCTGATTTCCTTTGAATCCCCTACCCCCCCACTACCTTACTTAAAAGCTTTTAAATGTCATTAGGTGTTGGATGAATTCCCTGGATAAATGCATGTTGCCAAGGGAACAACATACACAGCTCTCTGTTCTCCAGTTAATAGCTTTAATCTTGATTTCCTGTCAACTCTGGCCTACTTTATTGGCTTTCAGCTAAAAGCTTTTTGTTACAGTGCTGAAGGGAGCTGGTAGACGGTTACCAAGGCAACTTGACATCACAGTGACGAACTTCCCCACTTAAAAGCTTTTAACCGGATCCCTGATTCACAGACCTAGGCCCCATTTCCAGGCCTCTTAACTGTAATCTCTGGGAAAGGCTGAGCTGCTGTTGTCATACAGCCCCTCTTAACTGAAAGGCCAACAAGCTTATAGTGCGTGCAGGTCTTTGAACAGAAAGGATTTCTTTTCTTTCTTTTTTGTTCACCAAACCTACATAAAAGATTTTGTTTTCTTTTAAAATGGCTGCAGAGGAGAACTACAATTACATAGCTTCACCTCAAAATGAAAAACACAGAAGGGCCAGAAACTGGACAGAAGCTGAAATGAAGGGTTTGGTGTATGTGTGGGAAGAATATGTCACAGAACTGAAAAAAGCTAAAAGGAATGCTAAAATATATGAAAAGATGGCTAAAAGATTTTTTGAACTTACTGGTGAACATCGTCACAGAGAAGAAATTAAGATGAAAATTACAAACATGACATTTCAGTACAGGCAAGTATAAACATTTATATCTCTTGCATGTTGTGAAGTGCTTAGTATACAAAGATGCTTAGTATCTGAAGATGCTGTTATGACTATGCTTCATATTCTGTAGGTTGATAAGTGAATATACATGCAAGACTTGGATGTTATCACAAAAAGTTTAGTTAACTCATTGTATGCTTAATATTTTCTGAAATATTAAGGTGATCTTTAAGGTTAAAACATTTTCACAACCTGGGAGTTTTGACAAGATACTTCTTTCAATATATGAATCTGCACCTCCTAGATAAATACAATTTCATTATGAATAGGCATATACTGTCCTGAAAGGGGAACTTAATGAAATCTTTTCTCAAGATTGTCATTTTTTTTACATCACAATCACAAACTATCTAATTATATACCTGCCCAATTTAAAGCGTACTGTACATTGTAGCAATCAATCAAGTCTTAGCTGACTTAGCAGACTTTAATGAAGTCTTCTCTGGGAGAATGGGGTCTTACAGTCTTCCAATATGCCCTCCTGTTCTTATATCACACTGCAAACTCTGCCATACTACAGATGTTAAACAGGTCAAGGAGTCACTGTATTTCTGCAAGCCAAGAAGACCGTGGACATCTAGTGACCACCCCATGTTCTTGGTCCTCTGTCAGTTTTGACTGTGGAAAACCAGTCCCCTTTGGCTGATATGGGGGACATGACCCATGCCCAAACCTGCCGTCTCAGTCAAAGTGACCTTTGAGAAACCTAAAGGAACAGAGAATGAGAAGCAAACCAGAGTGTGCAAGTGGAAAAGTCAGGGAAGTGTGTTTCAAACTGAAAACGGGAGGCACTTTTTTACGCAAAGTGTTGTGGGTGTCTGGAACAAGCTAACTAGCCCTTCTATCAATGCTGAATCCCTGACGTCTTTTCAGAAAAGATAAATGAACAACTGACATGCAAACAAGCTGGAAGGTCCAGACAGTTTCCTCTCATTTGTAATCTTTGTTATGTTCAGTTTAAACATTTCTCTCCTCTATAGTACTCTTGTCTGGGAGTACCAAACATACAATTCTCTAAACTGCAAGTCTAACCTGGGAAAGTTATCAAATTATTCTTAAATTGTTAAAGAAAAGTTTCAGTTCGTTCACAAGATGCTGTATATCCACAGTTCACTGCTACACAACACAGAGAGGAAATATAGCTCAGGTTAGCAAACATACTATGTCTGTGGTTCATTTTCCTAACTGCTCAGCATCTGTAACCACTGGGCAAGGTCTGACGGCCGCCTCTGAATTCTCTCACTGACTGCTTAGTTTCAACAGGCATGACGATCTTACCTGGAGACAGACATCCTCGGCTCATCTAGTCCAAGTCGTTGCGGAACCTCAGTCCTTACGCCATTTTAATTACTTAGTCGCCTATAAATAATTTAAATAAAGTTGCTGTATGTTCACTGAACATAAGCCTTTTGAACACTCATGTGATTGAACATGGCCTTAGAAACATTCTTTCTTTCAGTTTTAAGTGCGCTTACATGTGTCCTCCCGTATTTTACTGTTCAATCTGAAAAAATCCTCTGGGTTGACTGTCAATGCCCTTGAGGACTTCAAACACTTGTATCGAGTACTCAAACAATATTCTCTCATTCAAGATTTAAAAGGTTCAGTTTCTGGCAGTGTAGGATCCTTAAACCCTGGAATGTATGGACCTGCTCTTCTCTGGTCTGATTCTAGAGCAATAATATCTCTTCTATGAAGTGGTGACTCAGTTTTCTAAATGAGGTCTTACTGTACTTGTCCATTATACAATTTCAATGTAATATTCCATGATTTCAATTTGGTGATTTTGACTATATATACAGTCTATATCCTAAAATAGCATTTTTCATATGTACATTTCTTTATCTCACTATTTTTCATTCTTTATTTAATTTTATGTTTTTGATACCTGCACATAAACCCTGTACTTGCCTGGTTTGGATGTTTGCCCAGTCTTGAAATTTAATTGAATTTGAATTTGCAATTTGAGAATTGATCTTCTAAAAGGAATTTTATTAAAAGGCTTCTGAAAATCTAAATACAGAGAATGTATGATATGTTGTGTAGTAACCCTTACTATTGTTGCTTGTTCAAAGCACTCTAACTGGTCGGTTAGGCAAAATCTGCTCTGGAAATCAGATTTCCATATCATTTAGTTCTCATAATTGTTTCCATAGACTTACAGTACCTGTAACAGACGTCAGACATATTGGTCTGTAAGTACTTGGGCCAATTTAGTCATCACAATTCTTTGGATAGGCACTACACTGGCAATCTCCATTCTTTTCCACCCCTGTCTTGAGCGATTGCTGTAAGAGTTGTGTCAGTGTTTAAGAATAACACCTCTTGTTTCCTTGAGTACAATTGGTTAGATGCCATCAGGCCCTAGGGGTTTATTAATCTTTAGTGCCTCTCGTTCTTGAAATGCAGTATTTCTGCCACTTCTGTGTGAATTCTGTTTAATACAGCACATTGACCTTCTGCTTCCTGAAGCATGGTGTTGAGTTCTTCCTTAGTGAAAAACATTTAGAAAAAAAAAAACTAATGTATCAGTCAATTTCCTTTCATTGTTTTGACATTTCCCATTATTGTCCTAAATGTATTTTACTTCACCCTTAGCTGTTCTTTTCCAATTGTAGTACTGAATTATAATTTATTTTAGGCTCCATAGCAACATTCCTTTCAAATTCTCTTTTGGTCTTTATCATTTCTTTTTTTTTACCTGTGCTTGATATTAGTCATACTCATTTTCTTTAACTGGATCCTTTTGCTTTTCAATCATGTTAGAAATGTCTTTCTTTACCCTTATATTTTTCCTGAGTGATTTGTTCAACCGTTAGCAATACTGCTTTGTTAGCTTTTTATTCCTCTGGGCAATCTTACAACAGTTTGTAAAAATCAATCTATTCAGGCCTAAAGCCTCAGAAATATATATATATATTAAATATACTGTATAAGTAGTATATGAAGCCTTGAATTCCCAACTGAATTAAAAAAAAAAACATGTATGCATTTCAGCCTGTCAGTCACTTTAACAAGTTTTCTTTTACAGTACAATAGGGAAATGACAAGTCCTGTATTGAGAACACTGCTATACTTAAGATATTTGTGTGTGCCAATGTATGCATCTCTATACGCTGGTCTTTGAAATTATTTGGATGCTTAGAAATGCTATATTTATATCTTGTATCTGAGGAAGAATAGGAATAAATGTTTTGTATTAAAAAGGAATTTACCTTATTTGGAAAAAAAGGTCCATAGAGCGTATCATCCTATGGATTGTTGCTGTAAGCCATTGTGTCCAAAATAACTTTCCTTCTTTTCAGGCACAGCTGTACATACTCTGGGCATTCAGTAGTATATTACCGTGTTCTTATCCCAAGAGGCAAACAGCCACCTCACTTGTAAAGTTTTGCATTTTATTCTATTGGAATTGTGCTTACAGAAGTCCTTACATTTTTCACCTCCTGTGTCCTACTGTACAGTATATAGTATATTCATATGGCTCCATGGGGTCAGTATGCTCCTATTCCCAAGATTATACAGAGCTTTCCAACTGTGAGCAACTTTATAGTCTAGTACAGCTTCACAAAGTACCTGAAGTAAAATGTCTTTAAAAAATCAGACCTGTTGTTTTTACATGTGCATGTGCGTTATTAGTGGCTGAGAAGATTTTTTGTCCAGAATTCTTGATATTGGAAAGTTCTTCATTATAGAATAGATGTGCCTCACTAAGGTCTGTGTCCTTGCATTATCTAATAGTCTATGTGCAATATATGCTTTCTGCCTCCATTGAATGTGAGTGTTGTACAGAATATTAAATATAATACCCTGCTCTTTGCCAGGAAGCTAAAATGCACAAGCAATGGAAACACAACAGCACCTGAATGGCCCTATTACAAGTCCATTGACAAAATACTTTCAAAAGCGCCAGAATCCAGCGGCTTGCACAAATACGATGTTTTGCAGTCAGGGCCTTCGACTTCTCAAACTGAGGCCTCCCCCTCCCTTCCCACACACTCTCCTTCGGCTTTCCTGCCGGAATACAACGGCTCTTCCGAGGAAAGAGAGAGGAATGAAGAAGCAGAGGCCTCGGACAGTTCCATCAGTTTTAAGTCTCTAGAGTCCAGGTAAGGAGGTCATATTTCAGGGGAAAAAAAAATAATTCTGTGTGCAATTTCAATATCTTTGTCAATGTTTTTTTTTTTGCTTAAGGCAGCAGGTTATTTAATTTGACGCGTCAACCTTTATAAGAATGATTTATACAGGATGTATTATTCAGTTTGTAAAGCTTAAATCCAATTGGAATTAAGTGGAATTAAACAAGGAAGAATGGTGGCATGGTGGTAAGTGGCTCTAACCACTTCATCTGATTTATGGTCATGGGGGAGCCGGAGCCTATCCCAGCAAGTAAAGGGCACAAGCCAGGAAACACTATTGCCATTGCCAGTCACACAGACACAAGCACAAACACACACAAGAGTCAGTTACACTACCAGTATTTCTTTGGACATAGGGAGGAAACCAAAACACCTAGAAAAAACCCACAAGAAAATAAGTATATAACACACAAACTCCACACAGAGAGCACACAAGGTCTGGAATTGAACCCAGGGCCCCAGGACTGCAAAGCCAGTCTCCAGTCTGCGCACTGCACACTGTGCTAACTAGTTACTAGTAACCATTAGAATATTGATGAATGGATGTGCTGTATTTAACCTTCAAGGTCAAGACTATATCTTGACCCTTTACACTTACAAAAATGATCAAACCCGTCATTAGCTATTAAAACACAAGACTGACTTTTACTCTTTTATTATCAACAATTATAGCAGATACTCCTTTATTTTATTTTGATTTCTTTAACCACAGATTTGGACAGCTTCCTGTAGAAAATAACCTATCCAGAAGACACAAATATTTACTGTATTTTACCTATTATTTTGACTACACATTTTTAGGTGTTGGCATTGTGGTGGCTTGACTACTGTTCAAAGTGTAGTTTTGTTTTGTTTGAGTTATAATTATTGCATGTCATAGTGTTTTTTTCTGCCTAAGCTACACTTATTATCTCCCCTCTCGTAAAAAAGAGTCATTCCTGTTCAACTAAGTTGAAAATGGGTATTACCTTTGATACAAAAAGTGCAAAGTATACAAGAAGGGCAAGAAAATGGTCCAGTGTCCAGTGTCAACATTTTGAAACAAAAAATAAAATAAAACAGTCCTCTCTTAAAAAAAGGCCAATGCTTCGCACTCAGTAGCCTTGTACCAGAAAAAAATAGTTATCTTTACATTATTTTGAAAAAAAAAAATTTCAGTGGCCATAAACAAAAATGTCTATGAATGTTTCATTTTTGTCCTGACATACACTCCATGAAGAAAGTTCAGCTCCATAACAGAGAATCATTTAAATTATTGCTTTAGTACAACGCCATCAATCCACTATTAGGAAGCTCTTTATTGCTGCTAAGTGTTGCAGCATCCTGGAATCCTGGAGCACATTCTAGAAGCATCCTTGAAGAGCTGCCAGTTCGCCGCAGTGCCCACACATCAGCAATATGGTTATGATTTAGGGACACCAGTTAGAATAATTCAAGTAAATAAAAAAACAAATCCTTCCTTTCAGATCTGAACCAGTACCTCTGAAGAGAAAGAAAGTGCTGAGGTCCACGCTGAAGAAGAAGAAGCTGAAGCTGATGGAAGCCATGCTGGGGGAGCAGAGGAAGATGAGTCGTGCGGTGGAGGAGACGTGCAGGGAGGTGCGCAGAGTCATGCACCAGCAGAACTTCCTCCAGGTGCAGAGCCTGCAGCTCCAGGAGCGAATGATGAACCTGCTGGAGAAGATGATCTCCCCTGCGGCAACACAGAACTGGCCCCATGCTGGGGTGAAAGACTAATGCTGGAAAAACACACAGCACGGAGACTGTTAATCCCTGTGGAGCTTTCTTAACTGCTAGGAGTCATCCCACCTAGCTGTTGGATTTGGCATAACAGCAAGCTTATGACTGGTGAAAGAACCCACAGTTCTGGCATACTAGAAATTCTCTTGTGATGTGAGATCTAACTGACTATCTCAATAAAAAAAACAGAGTTAATTTTTATTTAGAAATGATTGAGGTGTTTCTACATGTTTTAAATATATAACAAATTAAATACATTGTGGGAAACAAAGGCAACAGGTGAAAAAGACATTTTTAAGAATGCTAAATAGTAAAAAATGAGAGATGCCTTTCTGACCCATTAGTAGTTTATTGATCCCAGGATCTTATCTAGCTTTTTCTTGAAGGAAACCAAAGTAGCTGTTTCAGCCACATGGCTGGCTAGCTTGTTCCATACTCCCACAACATAAAGTAAAGTACTGCCTCCTATTCTGTTTTATTTTATACCACTATCTAAGAAGTTTATATATAAAAACATCACTTTCTGGAAACAACATTTAATGAAATTGCAGCATCATTCCTCACAGCATATCTTTAAGACCATAAAATGATTAATAGGACAGTGTTGTTTGATTTTAGACAATTTGAGTTACAAATTCTGGTTGACTTCTGTATTTTTTTTTGCAGAGCACAGACCTGAATTCAGGTTGGTCTTTCAACTCTTGTCTCAATGTCTAACAATGTCACCGGTTGTCTCAACTATCGTACTGTATATGCACATCTGCTACCATGACTGAATTTGTACTAGCTCCAAGACTTTTTAACTGTTTCTCTTCAAACATAATTTTCAAAAATGCTCAGATCTTGTTTGTTAGCTTGTCACCATCTATAGTACTGTACATATTCTTCAGGTGTCACTCCACTCTCTCAAAAGCCTTTGTAGGGTAGCTATGTTCTGTATATTTATACATTCATTATCTTCTGTTTATGCACTAATAAGGAAAGTTAAGGAAACAATTTGTAGAAATCATTGTTTTATACAAGATTTGATTGGTCTGCCAACACAAAAATGCAATCCAGGTGTGTTTTGATGTGTTTTCCCGTAAGAGTTCCTTTCTCAACAGGTAGAGTTGTGCATGCTCTAGAAACTCTGGCACCAAGTTTGACACCATATCACTTTTTATTGTTGTTATGTGAGTAGTAACAATCTCCAGCAGCATATATATCCTAAATATTATCAGTCATGTTTGTACAGTGGTTAGAGCTGCTGAGTTGCAGTGCTGGTGCCCTGGGTTCAATTCTGGACCTGGGGTGCTTTCTGGGTAGCGTGTGTATGTTCTCCTCATATTTATGTTGGTTTCCTCCAGGTTATCCGTTTTTTTTACCGGCATATGTAAAGACATACTGGTAGGTTAATTGATCATGGTGTGTATCTGTGCTTGTTTGTCTCCCCTGCAATTAACAGGTGTCACATCCAGGGTGTACCCTGCCTTGCGCCTGTTGCTTGCAGGGTCAGGCTCTGGCTTCCTGTTGACCCAGCAGTCAGAATCAGTCAGAAAATGGATGGAAGGATGATTAGGCCCCAACTGCTCTCAACAGAACTAGAGTTGGTGTGACAATATGTAGAAACATGATAGGCAAGAAGAGGGAAGGAGTTTTTAGGAAAGAATTTTAAAAAGAATTAACACATCGTTTGTTGTATTTTCCTTTTGATGTTAAAAAAACATAGTTATTGGAGTTCTTCCAGTCTCAGTAAATATTTCAGTAAAAAGTGGAGTTGACATATATAATTATATCTGCATATAGATACATTCACTTCTAGAATAAACACAATACTTATTTGAACAACTATGCAGTTTTAATTTTAATGCCAATTAACCCATGGGGAGACGGATTGCCAATAAAGGCATATACTGTACAGTACCATGTTGTTGATGCAGTTTAGCACTGCTTGACATACCTAGTCCCTACTTACTGGCCACTCTGGAGCCTTGTCTGCTTAGAACCAACTCTAACTTTGATCAAGATCTGAACTAGGCATAGGGATTGTCACGATTGTATTCCCTCCTCTTAAGGGTGCTCCTGCTCTTTCACATTTTTTATGATTTCATGCACCTCCCTCCAATCCTGCCCCTCTTTAATTAAGCCACTACTTTTGCTACTCTGGGCACTGCATTGATTATTTCCCGTCCCTGTATCGGATCCTGTTCCACTTTTTAACCTCGTCTTGTTTGTCTCTGCTGGATCACCATGTTTGGACTTTTGGACTTCGCCCCGGATTTCCCCCCTGGACTCCTTGGACTTGTTCACCTTGGTCACGCTCCCCGAGCACTAGTTCACCATCGTCACACCCCCCTGTCTGTCTACCCCTCCTGATCCTCGTCTCCCCCCTCTTGTCCTTTTTCCACTTACTTCCGGATTATACCATCTGCATAGGGTCCAGACCTGTCCATCGTTACAGAGACATACTGTAATGTCTGACAGCAGTGCGCTGGTCTTGATATTTCTAGAGAACAAGATTCTGATAAGGAGAAATGGAACAATCATGGTTTACACAATTATATCAACGTATCACTGTCTGTAACTCCATTACAACATCCTTGTGTGGCATTTTAGCAGGCAACTGGCTGTACTCAGTGTCCCAAACGATAGTAAGACTCAACCCAGTGCTAGGTCTTGCCCAGCAGTTTCTTTGTTCGAAAGGAGTATCATCCAAATGCCCCCTTTATTTAATTCTTGCATTTGGCTATCAGCTCTTCCCAAAGAGAAGTGTTCCAAGGAGATTTTGTAACATTTTCTAACCTCTTACTCCAATGTATGGTTGGAGCTTATCCCATCAAGCAATGGGTGCAAGGCGGGGTACACTGGATGGGATGCCAGTCCATCGCAGGGTAGATATACAGGCACCAGGCACAGACACAGAAACACACACACTCACACCAGGGCCAATTTTCCTCAAAGTCAATTAACCTACAAGTTTGTCTTTGGACTGTGGTAGGAAACTGCAGCTGCTGGCGATAAACCAAGTTAACATGGGGAGAACCTGCAGTCTCTATGTATTCTACTCTGCAGAGATGCAGCAGTGACTTGTAAAACATACGTGCACTGTACACGAGAAAGGACATTGATAATAATTACAAGCAGTGTATTTCATGCTGGACCCTTTAGAGGGGCTTTACAACGGAACAATACTATCCATTTACAGAATTAAACAGTGAGTTAAACAGAATTGAAAACTTGGATATAAAAGTGCGTTCTAAGGCAGGATTTGAAAATGCTAATATGCAAGATCTGATTTGGGATTGGACTGAGAGATAATTTGACAGTCCTAGAGAAACAGAATGGAAATCCATGTCTTCCAGTGTCCAAAGCCAGAGTCCAGGTGGCACAAAAGAGACAAACAGTAGATGTGCCATACAGGGAAGTTAATAGTTAACTTATGTAGACAGAAGCGAAGCTGCTCAAGCCATCAAAGCTGAAGAGCAGTATTTGGAATTGTATTCTGAAGTTCACAGATAGCTAGCGCAGGGAGGTTAAAACAGGCCATAATGTACATACACATGCATTTGTAGTTTTAGTCAAGATCCGAGCATAATCAATGCTAGAGAGCAGAATACATTATATTTTCTGCATCAGGAAATGCTGAATGGATATGAACAATGATGTGTAAAATGACAAGAAGAAAAACTTCCAAAATGAGATGAGTAGTTGGACACATTCCAGGATCGTCGACAGTCAAACTAATACACATCAGCAGAGCTGATAAAAAGAGACAATCTGCAGTTGGTTATTGTCAGACTTGAGATTTGAAAAGTTTTATGTCCATCTTTTATAAGCAGTGTGACAAAGCAGATAAAAGTTTAACCAAATGTGTTGAGAAGAAATAATGATTGATTTGAACAAACTGTTTGCTGTCAGTTAAAATTTAAAGAGAAACAAAGCAGTCCCAGTAATACCAGAAACAATCTCTAACCTATTCTTTAAAATGAGTTTGTACTGTACCTGAATGCCAACAGTCTGTTTTGGAACATTTGCCAAAGTTCTGCTTTTTAACACAGGGACAGTAATGTAATGATAATAATGAATTACACAATTAGTAAAAACATTCTAAATGTCTTTGATGCATAATTAAATCACCAAAACTATTTTGTTGTTGTATGAAAGCATGTATGAAAACATAATACACTGTACTGTAATCAGTTTAGTGCAAACTTACAAACCTCTTCTTCTTCATTGGAAGACTGCTCTTTTCTAACCATTCTGTGTTTCTGAGAAGACAACTTTGCACTGAAGTGCCTTACCGAGTTATTTAAATGTACCATTATTTTAATCTTAGACCAGACGTAACTATGACTCTTAACGTGTTGGAAAAAAGCTTACTGCCTATGAAAAGGCAGTGATCTATGATCACACAGTCAGGGTAATAATGTAATAAATCCAGGTAACTTTATATTCTGGTTTAAAACTCCCTTTTATATTCTAGCTATGAAATTCGATAAAGCCTTAGAACCTAATGATCTGAAGGCGTGTCTTCAGCTGGGCAGACACGACGTGTAAATTAACTGGTTTCTAAGTGATGAAAGGAGGAAATGTACGATGGTTTACATATTGTTCATCAATACCGTCAACACTTATTCTGGAAGCTTTTCGCTTCAATAACTCGATTGTTTCGCGAGTCCATGAATCACACAGCGACACGCCGCCGAGAGCCGCGGGGGCGCTCGACTCCGGTTGCCGGGTGTCCGCTTGTTGACTCTCCAGGGCTGCTGGGGCGAGAGACGGGGACCGGACTCGTGAGACGTGTCTGTATTACATCATGGTGAAGCTCCGCAAAAGTAAAATAATTCAGAAAATGCTTTTTAATCTGACATTGTAGTATGATTTCACTATCGCTGGCGTGCGGTTTTTACCTCCGAGAATGGGGAGTTACTGTACACCCGTTTTCGAAGTGTATATAACAATACTGTATGTCCAGCGGACGATATTAATGCATTGAATAACCAGAGTTCATTGCATCCTTGTAATAAATGAATTTGTAATCAGCTCAGCGTGTGATGCCTGTGCAATATAACGGTACACTAGTTCGCATATAATCGTTTTTCTATGAGGAAAAAGTTTGGTTTCGCATAAGGGGGGACAGGTTTGATTACACATACGTAGAGTACGTTTAGTAATGCAGTTTATAAATATTATTTCTGATTTCATTTCGTCATACCTTCTTGTGTAGGACATTCACATTTTGAGAAAAAGACTATATGTAAAAAACTATTTTGCAAAACGTATGCCGAATCTTGTGAAACAGTAACTTGGTACAGTATTTAAAACCAGCCTTCATTCTTGCACACCTTGCACTGTTATTGTTCGTGTTACACTTTCAGTCCCTCTTACTACAAGACGGCAACAGTAATTTGAACGCGTACAGAATGACTGATAGTCGCATCAGCGAGTAGAAGGGCTCCGAGGCCAAGCGGACAACAGCGTTGTCATAGGAACTGGGGGTTTCGCTACCGTGTTCGTGCAATGGAATAGCCGGGGCGGGTCAGTGTGGCTCAGCAGGGTTGGGTGAATTTTCCTGGGATAAGGATTGTTGCTGCGGGGAAACAGAAAAGGGAGAAAAAAGTTATCCAAAGTTTATAAAAGCAATTCAGATACGAGATGCTTTTATATGAGTGAATCTAGATGAGTGTGTGATTATAATGAGGTAAGATTGTTGGTGCTTCAGTATTGTAACATGCAGAATAATAGCATTCTAGAAGTTTTACTGTACTGGTTCCTGAATGATTGTTTGGAATGGTCAACAAAGGAATTTTCTCATGCTTGAATCTTCTTCGTTATTCTCGGGACAGTAAAGCACTCGGTTATGAAGCAGTCCCGTTTTTAATATCTAGCCAGTGAAAAAATATTTTAAAAGTTCTCATGCACTTCTTTTGCATTCAAGGATTTGTTTTTGTAGTAACGTATGGAGTATTGATCGCTAATGACCGATTTTCTTGGGCTGTTTTCAGCGGTTTATTTTATGTAGTTTTTAGTTTTAATTATTCATGTAGTATACAAACTAAGAGCGTTTTAATGAGAGCTGTGTGTTGAAATGCACACACCTGTACTGTAGGCTACCTTTCTAAAGGTGACATTTTTAGCGCTAAAATTTGAAATGAAAGCACTTCCTCATTGGAGAGTAACATTTTTGTGGTGTACGCCAACTCCCATGTAATCTTTGATCCTTATTTGCTGATAACAAAACACAAGATGGCGTTAAAATAGCTGTTATTTCGCTTATACTTAGTGTAATGCATTTACAGACCTAAAGAACAACTAAATAATGCATATTAATCGGTTAGTTTATGAATGGATTTAGAAAATACAATGTTACCTGTGGTAATATGGATATTTTGATATTTAGTGACAGGTATTGTTAATTTTTCTTAAAACCTTTTTCTTGTCTGCAATCCAGTGAAATCGAAATACAGTACTTCTGTAAACTTATAGAACATGGAGCATTTCAATACAATACATACTGGGTTGAAATGACATTAATTATTTTTGCTGTAATAATTGTAATATTAAACTTACCTGATGGTAACTTATATTAATGTGCTGTATTGTACCAATAAAATGATTGAATTATAAAACTGCTTCAAAGATGTAGCAATTGATGTAGTAGCCATGGTGTGGAGAATCAGAAATGTAGTACAAAGGTCACTACATTGAACCACATAATCATAGACCATATATCTGTTACATATAAGATAATGGAAACAATTGCTAAAACAAAATTAGAGGATCGCCTATTTTGAAACAATATCTAAGTATATATTCTGCATGGTTTAGACAATATAGATCTCACTTAACTGACTTGTTAAAATTCTTTGAACAAGCAGCCCCAGCAATGGATGATTATAGCATATGTAGATTTTCAGAAAGTTTTTAATACATTTACTCATGAAGGATGAATTCTTGAATTACAAGCAGTAAATAAGTGAGGTACCACAGGGGTCAGTCCTGGGGCCATCTAACTTCATAATTTCAGTCAGTGATCTAGATTCTGTTATACAGTACTTGGTAAACTGGTCAAGTCTGCTGCTTATACCAAAATAGGAAGATTAGAAACAATGTAGAAGCAACAGGTGAAATTCAAAATACTTTAGATGAATTTCAAGACTGGATAAAACCCATGGAGATGACAGTTTACGGTAATCAAGTACAGGGTGTTTCATGAAGGTAACAATAACAAATACAAAATATGAAACGCTGAGCTGGAATAGACTAAATATTTAGTTTTTCTGTCAGAACATCATTTACATTTTCTAGACAAAGTGGAGAAGTAATAATGGCAAACAAAATGCTAGGATATATAGTTAAAAGCGTAGAATTTTAATTGAATGGTGCTATGATTCAGTTATATAATATTCTAAATTACTGGTGTATTGTGTACAGTTTTGGTTACAACCTTATACAGAAGATACTGCTGCTCTGGAATCAGTCCAGAGATGAGTGACCACATGCATTCCAGAACTTAAAGGAAAATCCTACACTTAACAGGTTGAAAGAACTGAACCTTTTTAGTACTGAACATAGAAGACTAAGAGACCTGATACACATATTTAGACTCCTCAAAGGCACTGACAAAGTTGAAACACAAACCAAAGGGCTCATTATGTGGAAACCATATGTATTTAAATCCAAGAACAGGAGGCACTTTTTCAACCCAAAAGGTTGTTGGGGTAATAAGCTTACTTATTAATTATTGTATTATTATTACTACTTATGCAATACGTTTGCTAGGCAGTGTTTGATTACTGTTCAAATGTACATCCTGTTATATTAAGAGGAGCATATGTCAAGGGAAGAGCTACACTGTATAACAAAAATATTTCTAATAAATGTTTAAGTATAGTATTTAGATTATCTGACCTTTTTTCCCTTTAGTTAATTCTTTTGTGGTTGTAAGTTTTGTAGTAGAAAAGTAGCCATAAAATTTGTTTTCTTTCTTGTTTTTCAGGTCTTCTGAAAAGTCAGAATGAATGGTAGAAAGATGTTGAGGCGACAGTTCTGTAGCGGTTAACATAGTGTTCCATTTAGTTCCCCTGGCTACACGTTGAAAGTCCCTAGTAGCAAGAAAAATGTTTAAGCAGGGAGAAGGTGCAAAACGTCGGCTGAACTTGCACTCGTCAGGCCGGGTCAGAAGTGTGGAAGTAGCCAGAGGAAGAGCAGGGTATGGATTCACCCTGTCTGGACAAGCCCCTTGTATTTTGAGCTGCATTCTGAAAGGAAGCCCAGCGGACTATGTTGGGTTGAGAGCAGGAGATCAGATCCTGAGTGTCAATGACATTAATGTGTCTAAAGCATCACATGAAGATGTGGTAAAACTAATTGGAAGGTGTTCTGGAGTTTTGCATTTGGTAATAGCAGAAGGTAACAACCATGTGGACTCCTGCTCAAGTGATGAAGAACTTGGTTTCCATGAAACCAAAAACTGGATAAAGCCAAAGATTGACTCTAAAACCTTGGGCATCAACAGAGCTGAGAGAGTTGTGGCAGAGATGCAGTCTGGAGGGATTTTCAACATGATTTTTGAGAACTCTAGCCATTCATCCAGCAGCTCTGAGAAGCCTGCAGTGAAGCCAAGGCCATTGTCTGAACCGGACTTCACTTACAGAAGCAGGCATGGCAGTGCAAAAAGCAACCCAGACCTGCTTTCAGAAGAAGAAATGGCAAAAGTACTGAATGATGATACAGTATTTGTAGATGTATTTGAAAATCAAGATGATTTTGCGTTAGATGCTAGCATTCTCAATGTTGGAATGATTGTTGGATACCTAGGCTCTATTGAACTGGCTTCCACAAGTGCCAACCTCGAAAGTGACAGTCTGCAGGCTATACGTGGATGTATGAGACGCCTCAGGGCTGAACAGAAGATTCACTCTCTGGTAATGATGAAAATAATGCATGACAGCATTCAGCTTTGTAATGACAAAGGTTCCATAATTGCTACATACCCAGCTGAGAAATTAGCTTTTAGTGCTGTGTGTCCTGATGACAGGAGGTTCTTTGGATTGGTCACCATGCAAGTTACTGATGATCATAGCTTGACTAAAGAGGAAGAGAGTGGATTGAGGACCTCCTGTCATGTCTTTATTGTGGACCCGGAGCTCTGTCATCATAAGGTTCATCAAGGCATTGCAAGACGGTTTAACTTTGAATGTACTCCAGATCCTGACATAAATGGCTGCTTGGAATTCCCCCCAACATCACAGCCTCTCTTGCAGTTTGTCTCTGTTCTCTACCGTGACATGGGGGAGTCAATTGAAGGAATGCGGGCCCGAGCCTTTCTTGATGGAGATATTGATGCCCAGCAGAATAACAGCACCAGCAGCAACAGTGACAGTGGGATTGGAAATTTCCTTCCCGAAGAGAAAAGCAATAGGGTTCTCTTAGTTGACTTGGGAAGCAACCCAAGTAGGCATATCCCCAACGGTCTGTGGGAAAATCCTCCGTCCCGGAATTCAAACCAGGCTGCGTCAAGTTGGAATGGCTATCGCTATGAACAGGATGGAAAGTATCATGTTGAGGTTTCCCATCCTGAATCTTCTCAAATTCCTGGGCGACATTTAGGTCCTTCTGCAAGGATCGAAGTCCCTGTCCAGCCATCCAGGCCTCATTACTCTCATGGCAAAAAAGCAGGCGCAGGAGCAGCTGCCCATGCCGGAAGTCAGCGCTGGCTTCCTGTTCACGTTTTGCGAGATTGGCAACATGGCAGTACCAGCGACCAAGAGTCCTATGCTGAATCCACAGACGGCTGGTCAAGTGCTAACTGCAGCACTCTTCCTCCTCCAATGAGCAAAATCCCAGCTGACAGATATAGGGTAGCAGGGGAAATAGGGCAGCCTTCTCGACTAGCAACTCAGAAGGATGAATGGACCAAAAAGTTGTTTGGTCCCGAGAAAGTGTTTGGAGATCAGCAGAGTGGGAAAAGAAACAAAGAGGCAGAAAAAAAGGTAAGACTAATTGAACGCTTTTATTTATTCCAAATAAGTATGTAAAGGGTTTCTTAGATTTTTGGATTGAGCTGAGACGTTTCAGGTTTAGCATGTTTTCTACCACCTGGGTTTTGTTACTTAGTGATTTTAGGGTATGATTCTGCCAGCAAAAGAAATGTGATTTGGGTGGGTGGCAGCAATCTGGAAATGGGTGGATTTCTACTGGGACTTGCAGCCAAAAAACGTAATCGGAACCTCATTTTAGTGCAGCTTTATTTGTGCTACATTCACTTGTACAGTAAAAATAAAGCAAACTAAGACCTCAAGATTTTCAAAAATGTCACTTCCACTAGCTAGTCAAAAGATGGCTCACAGGTTTTCTTTCATTTTTCAAAATGACATTAGCAGTTCTATTTTAGGATCTCGCCTCATGAACCAGAAGGAATGAAGTAGTTTTCTTTTCAAAAGAGTGTTTTGAAAGTATGAGCTAGAACATACAAGCGGTTACAACTTATTTTGGATTGGAAGAAACCAAAACTTGAATTCACATGACTAGAACAAGCTCAAGGTAAATTATACATCTGCAGCCTAATCCATCACACAAACAACATTTGTTCCTCTCTGAACACGCATAAAGCTGAAAACTTTAGAAGTCTGATTTTTTTTCACAGTCCAAAGACATCCTGTACAGGTTATTTGCCACCTCTCACTTATCCCAGTGAATGTGTGTGTGTCTGCCTTGGCATTGACTGGTATCCCATCCACAATGTAGTCTGGCCTGTGACTTCTGGTTAGGCTGAGGCTTCACTTACTGTAACTCTATAAAGATAAAGTGGTTTCAGAAAATGGATGGAAGGAATACAGATGCACCAGGACTAACATGCATCTTATAACAATGTAAATGAAGCCAAAACATTAATTGTGCCTAATAACACCATGATAATCCTTTATTTAACCAGATAAGTCAGTCAAAGCAAATGTTCGTTTCCAGTGATGACATTTTCATTTCTTGGCTAAAAGGCTGATACCATTGCTGCACAGGAAGAAAGGAATCTGTAAAAACAATGGACAAGGCATAGTTAAGTGCATGTGTTAGATAGAAAAGCTTTCAGTTGTATGCTCTTGGATATACGGTTGGGCAGTTTCACTCTGCGTTAGCATCAGCAAAGTAAAATGACTTGCACCCAGTTGATCTTGGGAGGGGCTGGTTGATAAAAGGACTACTTATGTGTAGTACAGAGAGCTGCAGAAGATGAAAATGGAAAAGTGTTTTCCCCAATTAAGGATCTGTAAAGTAAACAACCTTTCCTAACCTTTTTAAATGTACAGATCCCTTTTCCACCTTCCCAATATTTTGCTTACATCTTTATGCTACTAGTTGTTGTTTCTACACAGCATTACATATGAAAATGCAATGCAATATTACATAATCTTTGCTCCATAATCAATAGTATTGTGCGAACCTGACATCCTTATTGTCACATTTTTCTAAAAATAAAATGTCTGTCAAGTGTAGCGGGGCATGTGCATGAACATACACGTATGCATGTTGAATAATGAATTATTAGATGAAGTCAGTGAAACAACACTGGCCAAAGATAAAATATTAGGTAAGAGTGATGACCGTGTCAGCCTTAAAACTGTTTTTACATCACAGTTCACTTTTTGAAAGGACCGTCAGGGGTCTGTGGTCTACAGGTTGGGAACCAGTGGTGTACTATACAGGGAATGACAGGCGATCTGTCCAGAGTCTATGATTACTGTGAATGGAAATGACCATTCTGTAAATAACATTTCTGTCATCTAAGATGTAGAATGTGGATGGACAAAACTAGGATAAAAACCAACAATGAGAAAAGAGAATGCATTACCTTTAAACCTTCTGGACTTCAAAGAATGACAAATTCCGCCTGGGAATTTGGGATTCATATTTGTGGCTGTTTCAGAACCAGAAGAGATTACGATTCCTTTTCTGATGACTGTTTCGCATGTCTGGAAAATATTCACAGAAGTCACAGAAGTGCTTCTTTAGGAGAGTGATGAGACTTTTTTTTTTGTTAATAGGGATTTTTGCTATTAGGGATTTGTAGTTTATTTTTTTCTGTAAATGTTAATACTGTAGACAGTGTCAACATGCAATCATTGAAAACTTTTTAAGGACTTTTTTTTAGTGAAACATATAGTTTTGAAATGTATTCTCTCCAGGTATGTGTTGTGCAACAAAGCTTGAATTAGTGTGAACATATCCATTCGCTAGTCTATCCATCCATCCATCCATCCATCCATCCATTTTCTTACCACTTCATCCACTTCAGGGTAGCGGAGGAGCCAGAGCCTCCCAGAAACCTGTCGGAGCATCTTGGAAAGGCAGGATGCACCCTGGATTGGATGCCAGTCCATAATAGGGCACACATTTACATCAGGACCAATTTTGCCAGTTGTTTACTCTCAAATGAAGATGATCAAATCATCACCCACAAAGTTATTAATCTTTCTGAGACAATTCTGTCAGTAAGCTGACAGAATATATACCATACTGGAAAGTTAGCCAAAATATAATGAATATGGCAACGTTTCACTCTCAAGTGTGAATTGTTGTTTCTTATACATGTTTTTGTTCCCAAAAAAAGAAATTCCACGGATCATCACAATTTAAAGAAATGAAAGACAGCTGACGAAAGATCAGGGTTATTTGTCTGCAGTGTGCTACCAGTGGAAACAAAAATGAGAAATGTGTACTTCAGGGAGTGTAGGTACTGTAGATGTTGCTTAAAGTATATGCTTAAAATGTTTACAGGTATCAAATGATGCATCAGTTAAGATTTTAACACATTCAGAAGGTTATTATCTGTAAACTATTATCTATTATCATGATTTCAAGCAGGTCTGCTAACATGAACCAGATGCGACATACTGTAGGTAAATTAGTTTTGCTGATTAACATTTCTCGACAACAGGGTGTCTGCTATGAAATTCACAGGCTAGCAGTGTGTATGGCAGCTTATGGAATATAAACAGTATATCGGCAGGATACACTTTGCATCAAGTTACAGATACTGTCTTGTTCCTATTTCTGTCATAGTGCCTGGACAAGTATGCATCTCTTCACTGGTCTCTGAACCCTAGATTCTACACGTCCTCCCAGTTCATCCCACAAATGTTCAGTGAGACTCAGGTCGTCCATGACATACTGAGCACGTTTTTATCTAACAGGATAGCCACTGTTATACGAGCAGCATGGGGATGGCTTTCTCCTGCTGAGGAAGGAACAAGTTCAAGGTCTTGATCACTGTAGTGTAATATACTGTAAGGCTGCCATCTAGAAAGAGGACATTGGTCTACTGCAGGCGTTCTACCAGCAGTCTGGCCTCCAGCATACCAGTAGCACAAAGGGTTTGTTCTCTTGCTAACTTGGACATCGTTTCTTTTCTGTGTTTTTCTTTTCACCATGATTGACATTCAAGCCCCATCACCTGTGCCCAATTAACTCGCTAATGAGGTTATTTAGTGCTTATGTAACAGCCATTCAGGATCAGCTAATTAAATATTATGTGTTTTAGGCATTATTCTGATCAATATCCATAATCCATATACAGTACTTTATATTAAATGGTACAGTATATATAGCATTTTATATACAGTATACTACTATTCTAACAGCATGCATGCATAAATATAGTGATACTTTTTATATCTAAAACCTATTAGACTTAGTAGTCTGCTTTGATGCTCAGTGTTAAGCACAGTTTAAGGAATGCAATGTTTTATTACATTTAAAAATAAGAACCATCAGAAACCTTTATTGCTGGAATCAAGCCTTTAAGCTTGTACAATTCCTAAGGTTTGTGCCAGGGGCACTTGTCTCTTCTTGAGAACATGATAAAGGATTATTCATCTGTTCAATTCATATTTCTTTTTCTCTTTTTAATGTTGTGCCTGAGCTCATTGTACCCTTGGAGTCATAAATGTGCCGTTGAACCACTACAACCCGGCTATAGTACCCTTATCCCTGGAGTTCTCAGTGGACCAGTTTAGGTTAAACTGACTGGTTGATAGCTCTGCAGTTTTTCACCTGTTTTACCTAGCACTTCCAGTTAATCTTGGAGTATGTGCTTCTGCTCACCCATTGCTGATGATGTCTTAGGATTTCCAGGCTGACATCACTGTTACTCATGAAACATCAGCAAGCTGAGCTGTCTCAGTGACTGAAGCTCCTGCCAAATGTGCTTCAACAATCACCCCTGATGTCTCCTGGCACCTATGCTTGTCATAATCGTCCAGCATTTTTTGTGCATGATCCTACATATGCAGGAAATTATTCACTTAATTAAAGCATGCACCACACCTATGTGGAGGTCCTTGCGTTCAATATGCCTGGTGTCCCTTATTTAACCCTTTTTGTCCACTACCTGTATATAATAATAGTAATTTCTTACAGGTGTAGCACCTGCCTGGATGATGTGACGGCAGCCAAAGTGCGCCAGTATGCTCAACACATCAGCTATCAGAGGAGAGGAGAACAGAGTGATGAAGCTAATTCAAACATGAGGATTATTATAAGCCCAGGACTCCGGTTTCACACCCCTCCATAACCTCCATAATAATAAACCCCAAATAATAAACATAACCCCAACTCGTAAGGATTTTGCCAAGAATATACTTGAGCGGTTAGTATAGTTAAAGTAATGTGAATTATTTTTTTCTTTGGCACAAATCTGGTAAATAGAGCCATTATTCAGGCACACTTGGTTGAACAAATATTTATACAAAAATTGCAACACACACTAAAGATACATCATACAGGTTACACTACAGTGTGTACAAATTTACAGTCAATGCTTTTCAGAGGCCTAACATCCTAACTACCCAGAAAACTCCAAACTGTTACCAAGCATTCTCACTCATAAATAATGGCTGCTAAGGCCGCAATAAGAGATGAGCTGCCTTCTAAACTAAATAGATTTCTCCCTGCAGTTAAATCTCTCTGCAAATGCAGAAACCAGAATGTAATGAAGGTA